ACCTTCCTGTGGGAACGAGCATTTGCATATCTGAAGCAACATCTCCCAAGAAATATGTATAGTAGGAATTCTTTCTGATGGCTATGATAAAACTTTATCTTGAAAAGGACATCTAGTTTTGGGTCCCTCATCACTTGAAGCAGGCAGAACATTCATTATGGGTGAGGAAAAAACAGATTTTGTGGGTTAAGCACCTGATCATTGTATGAATTATAGGAAGGAGGGTGCATGGGTAAGGGATTTCCAATTAGGCGGTTCAGAATTCTGCAGAATTAAGTAAGGGATGAGGGCAAATGTCAGGCTGTATGATTACACTTCAGTCTGCTGGACTGTGAAATGGTAGGATATATGATGGCAAGTGGCCTAAAAAAAAAAGAAAAGTCATTGTCTGGGACACTTAACAGTCAGGGTTTTGCTAAATCCCATGCCTAAAAGCAGTATTTGTAGGCTCATGGGGAAGAGGATGCTTAACATCAAAACAGATTAAATGAAAATGTTTTTTTGTTAAGCTTGAAAGAAAGGGAAGTAAAGAGAGTGATGGACTGCAAGGGAAGGATGAACAGGATCTTCCCTGTGGTCCTGGTATTTCAATGCTGTACACACTATGTAAGTGAAGTAGCATACTGCATCTCCAGGGGCTAGTACAGCTCTTTCAGGGGTAGGGAATCTTTCAGGAGTGACTTTTCTGGGTATGGTAGATTAGGAAATAGAAATTTTGTGCCAATAAGGCGGAGGAAGAGAGAACAAGCTTTTCAGACAATTTTTATATGGAGGTCAACAGTAATACTCTATTTTGAAAACGGAACATGGTTCACTGTTCTAGGTAAGAAAAAGAAAGTGCAGTGGAAGGGTTTGAGTCAGCAGAGCTTCACTAAGAAGGCTAAAGATGGTGTTTCAGGAAAGACGGGTCAAGAAAAAAGGAGATAGTAGGGACTGTGAAGAAGAACAATGGAATTATTGTTACTAAGTTTGCCCTGAGAATAGGACAGTTTGGTGTTAATTTGTCAGATTAATAGAACTGTGGAGAAAGCTAGCAAGCAAGCAAGCTTAATGGAATAAACTGAAGGGAGTGAGAAGGATGAGGCAAGACCGAAGAAGAAGAGACCTCAAGTCAAATAAGTGTATTCTGGAAGAATATATACTACCTCTACAATGCAGAACTCCCAGAGGCTCTACTCAGTGTTCACTGAGTCTACTGGCTCTATTCTGCCAGAAATGAACTGTGTGACTGACCGAGTCTTTTCCCCAGAATTAAATTGCTTACAGAATGAACTAATCATTACAATTCCCTCTTATTCCTACAATCTGTTTCCACTCTTATATTCAAATGGAATGTGTGTCCATGAAAAAGAAAAAGGCAGAAGAAGTAGGACTGGGAAGGATGTACAGGTATTCATAAGGAATTGGTAAAAGATGTGGAGGCTAGAGGGAAAGAAAGTGAGAGTGGGTCCAAATGAAAAAGGCTGGATCTTACAATATGTGTCATGATTCCTAAAAATTGTGAGGATATTGATGTCAAACTACAGCACCAGACAATAAAGTGTTTTACTAATGACAGAGAAATGAGAGGTTGTTTTTATGCTGTGATCCAAATCACCATTAGAAAACAATGCAGAATATTTAATAACCAAGTACTACTTAGACAGGCTGATATACCTTCTTTTCAGCACACCTTTGGCTACTACTCTGCAAAAAATGGTATTTGAAGGTTTAACATGGTTATCACTGGACAGCAGCCCAGGACAGGTGTGAGTAGTTTTGATATTACACTGTGAGGCTGTGCTCTGCCAATATCCAGTATTTTGGAGAAGAAACAAAAGTAACAGTTCTGTGCAAGTGGGAATCATGAGGAGTGTATTCGGTTGTGCAAGGGGCAAGATTCTGGGAGTGTGACAAGGGTAAACAAAGAGGGAAGTCTTTGGATTCAGATGATGGGTTCTTTTCCCAAGATGCCTCATTATTCATGCTCTATAAAGTTAGGGTAGACTAGAGCACAGCAGAATGGAATATAAAAAATAATTCCAGCTCTTTCTGGAGCATATTAAGTTGAATATAATCTATAAGGACATTTGGTGAAAAAGGCTGCATTTGTCAAACCTATCAAAAAAATCCTGATCAATCTTGTTCTCACACATAGAGTTTTAGAGTGGTTATGGTGGAGCTTGGTCAAAGTGAATGGGGGAGAAACTGGGGGATAGGTGTTTTGGAGCAGACAAACTACTTTTTGGAGGAGTGATGCAACTAAACAGTTCCATGTAAGAAAGAAATATGGCAAATACCAGAGAGTTCCTTTAAGATTCTGGAATAAAAAGAAAGGGAATTTTTGATGGAACCTAAATCAGTAAAATCTGGTGATCCTCACAAGGATTCTCTAGGAGAAGATAGAGAGAAAAGAGCCAGAACACATAACTGGTGTAACACAGAACACTTAAGAACAGGTAAGCAGATGGCAATTGTGGTGCCAAAGTGCATTTGTGCATGAGTGAACAAACCTACTGTGGTCTAGCTCTGGTGAAAATTGATATATTGCTGAAGAAAACCAGTTCGCAGCTGCAGGTAGCGTGATATCATCTATGCATTTCCTAATTGACAGCATTTATGCTTTCAGAAGGTAGGATCCAGATACCATT